TCCTTTTAAAGCAATGAAGAGTAAAATCTCTTGCCCAACAACACTCTGCAGCCTAGCGTTTAAACCCAGCAGCCACAGCGCTGTGTTTGCTTCGGGAACTCCTCTGTGCATGAAACGGCGTGCGGGGTAGTTTGGGGGAAATTCAATACATTTTTTTCCAGTCAGAAACTGGAATCTGCAGGTTCTTCTCCAAATCGCTATTGCCTTTCCTTTTCCTAGCAAGTCCCAAACCACAACAATGGCAGAGAAGCGAAGGGGATGGGAATCTTTTTAAAACAAAACTGCAATTTTCCCTCTAAAGACTGCACTTTTCAGTTGCATCTGAAGAAGCGAGGTTTTTACCCACGAAAGCTTATGCCCAAATAAATCTGTTAGTCTTTAAGGTGCCACCAGACTCCTTGTTGTTTTTGTAGATACAGACTAATACGGCTACCCCCTGACACTTTTCAGTTAGCACTTTGATTTTTTCTCCCGTTTTACTGCCTCCTGAGTCCCTCTGTAGCGAAGTTTCGAATGGATGGAGTGTGTGTGTGTGTGTGTGTGTGTGTGTGATCCTTTAGTGGTTTATGTTAACAAAGGAAAGACGTGAACATTGCACGTGTATTTTCTTCATTTTCAGATTATTTACTTAGCATTTTCTGCATTAAGCGGGTATTGGATTTTCTGTTTTTGATGAATACCGGATCTGGGTAATTTCTGGAGCTTGGCTGCCAGGACATTTTTAAAGGCGTCTATTTGCGAAATATGAAGGATTCGCCTCTAACACGAGTTGATTTTAACCAAATGATTAGATTTTTGCTTGTGAAAACGAGGCCCTTTCATTTCCCACTGACAGCAGCAAGGCTCCCCAACAGGCCGGATGCCTGCAGGATTGCACTGAACTGGCCTGCGTGATACTGAACTCCACTTTCCGCTTAGCTCTTCAGACCCTCATCATTAAAAGCGCACCTTTGAGTGCATTAAAATCTGAAAGATCATCTTTTTTCACCAGAAGAGACCTACTCCTGCAGCATCTCTGAAAGGTCACCAGCTCCGCCATGGCTGATCCCAGCTTTTGCTACAGGCCACATTAGCAGAGCGGCCATTTACTGCCCCTTGATTGCACCAATGACCAGGTTAGCTCATAAAGCCATTCACACTCAACAATGGGGATTTTCTCAACAATTAACAAGAAACAACATAATAAACCCATTTACAAAGCCCTGGCTATTTACTATAAATTAGGCACTCTTTAAGAGACCAGCGCGTAATTTCACACACTTTACAACTGCAACTGCATTTTAAACGCGAGAGTAAACAACCTTGTTGCACTTTTCTCATTGACCTGTCTGTGCAGCTCACCACTATGTTTTTTTCTCTTTCGTGTGTGCTGTTTTATTTGTATTGCGGAGCTCCCAGCCGTATCACCCCCAAATCCGTATTTGCTTTCCACATTGCAATTTGATTTTCAGATGGATGGGGTAGGGGAAGGGAAATTGCATTCTACCTTATTTCTTTAAAACCTACGCCCCCAAATAACAAATGGGGCTGCAGAAAGTGTATTTTTTGTTATCTTTTCCCGACGATGTTGGCTGGCTGCGTCACTCATTTAATTAGTGAGTTGTTTTCAATATGGGCAGTTAACTATTCCATTTTAGAGACAGTTAACTAGTGCGGCGCCTGTGTATGAGAGAGACAGAGAGGGGGGAGATCACACAAAAGAAGAGCAAAGTGAAATGGATGATCAGCCAGAGGAACTACCAAAATGGGGGAAAATATGTGAGCCTGATCTTCATTTTCACTGGCCCCCTCAAACAGCAGCCTGAGAGCAGCGCCTGCAAAAAGGCCACTTTGATGTGAATCTATGTGAGAGCTACTGGTAGTGAGTGAGTGCAGGAGCTCCTGTTCCGCCTCGCCTAATGAGTTGGTAACAAATTCGAGAGAGAGAGGTCTGGGCGAAAAATCACAAAGAATTTGTTTTCCATAAAGCAAGATGGCGGCATTTTTAGTGTTGTCCCCAAGTGTCTGCACGATATTAAGGGGACTCTCTAGACCATCACTGCTACATTTCAGGGGAGAACTTTAGCTCACATGTTCCTGCCAATGAATCTGATGATTTTGAAGGCAAAGTACAGTGGTAACCTTATGTTGCACGCTACACCACAGACTTTAGGGCCAACTTCCTTCTTCTTTCTCGTCAGGAAGCAGAGATATTGGTCACTCCGGCTCATCACACTCATTTACAAAGTATAAAACGAGGCGTTGCTGGCTCCATCCAAACTGCCCCCCCCCCTGTTTACAAACACAGCTGTTGCAGTATATTTGCAATGCTAAGGATAAAGCCACCAGCAGCGAAGAGCAAACGAGAGATGATGCAGGAAAGGGTTTCTCGGCATCTGGAAAGGACAGAACGCCTTGTTTTTGAAACTGTCAATTCTCTCAACCCCTATTGTGAGAGCTTCATGCAAAACATCTAGGGCCTTTTAAAGCTGGGACTTGTGAGGCCGCCTGAGATTGAAAAGGAGGGGGTGGGGGACTAGGGCATAGTAAATAATTATATCAGACCAGTTTAAAAAATGCAACTTTGAAGACCTAAAATCAGTTAACTGCATACCCAGGTGTCCTTTCCCAAAATGTTTGGGAAGTGTCCTCTATTTAACAGAAAGCAATTTGGCTACAGAGGAATAAGAAACTCCACATTCAACCATGGAACTGATAAACGGTACATTCTTAAACATGATTGTAAGGGTAAATACCAGGGGGAAAACCTCGTGAATGGCTCATTTCTGTAAATCTGATTTAGCTAGGTAGATTCCAATGCCTTTGTCCTTATTTTGAGAGATTTATTTTAATTTGTACACGATTGTACTTTTTAACTGTAAAGTTATGTCCAAACAGATTTTAAGCGGAACCATTAAAATTTTTCAGTAACCATTTTAACTGTAGAAACCACAACTAATCACGTTCTCTATGTTATATATTTTCTAGTATATTACATGTATTACAATAGTTTTTCTACAGATTACCACTGAATTAGACGCCTGCATAGAAAAAATGCCAATTTTTACATCCCTCTCTCTATCTTAACCACTCACACGTGTGAAGTGTAACAAACAAAAACATGATAGCATTGTTCTTATTTCTGCAGAAACTTTAATTTATTGGCGACTAAATCTGATATAGGAAAAAAGGTCAGAGACCATGCAGAAAATCACCAAGTGAATGATTGAACAGCAAACGTCATACAACAGCCACCACCATTTTTGCATTATTGCTACATAGTGGCGTTTTAAATAAACCAGTAAAGAGATTATCCCACTGTAGTCAAGTAAGTGTATATTATAGAACAATCACTTTTAAAAGTAAATTGTTGTAAACTGAAAGTTACATCTTTTAAGGCAATATACCTGGTCGCTGAAGGCATTACACATGTTCCCTTTTTTAATGCTCTAGAGAATTAGACATAGTCCAAAACTTCCTTTGTCTTCAATGTGGTCACAGAAATCTTCCCAATAAATGTATCAGTAGCCTCTACTTGTAGCAAAATCTCTGGAATAATGTTCCAGACAAGTTCAAGTACTCTCCTAGGTGTGTTTTATTTATTATTATTCTTTTATTTCATTTTATTGATTTATGCATTGTACATCAAGAAACTGGAAAACTGTCAAGTTTCATAGCTGATACCCTTTAGTTTCTCTTTCCTACAAACATTACAGCAATACCATAATCCCGCTGGCTAGAAAACCCTTGTTTTCCTCAGTATTAAGACTTACCTTTATTAGGGGAAAATGTGCTATTTATAACAGTAATTTTATTTTATTATTATCATCATCAAGTCTAAAATTATAATAAACTGTGTTCGCAAGAATTATTACAACACAATGAGAAACAGCTCCCAAACTACCAGGGATTTGAAATAATACCCTTTTCAGTAAATTCTTGTACCTGGCAGATTACTCTGACAGAAGTAAAAACTCAAATGTTCTTGCTAGTGGCTTGAAACTAAACTGAGGTGTACACGTGTGACAATTATTTGGCCATTTAACTTTTTGCCTTTTGATGGTGCCTTTATTCATCATACTTCAGCAGAAAAGTCTGCAGGAATGATACACTCAGGAATGTATTTGGCTTGGTGGTGTTCATTCTCCAGCTTCCGTAAACTGGAACTATTAATTCATGTAGGGCGACAGAGCTAATATCAGAGCTGGGCGCCATATTTTACGTTTTAAACTCCACTGAATGTATTTGGTCTGAATTTGTGCTTTGTTTCTTTCCCCAATATTAGTTAGAGAGTTAAAACAAATCGTCTCTGCTATTTATAAGTTAGGGTCAAGTCAACATGTCTCTAATTGTAAGTACACAGGGTCAGTGGAGGAAGCTACTTTTAAAATGATATACGTACTGTTTAATAGATAAGGCGAAATTTCAGGTTTTAAGCTTGCATATTGTAGCTTTGTAGATTTCTGTCAAGGGGAGACCCTTTTCAACCAAACCCTGCTTTCCCAAAGAGCCAGGGGATTTTCCTGAACAGTAAATTGTGTACGTATTTACATATTTCTGGAAATAAGCCTGTAATTTATGCAGCTCCAAACACTCGAATGTAAACATTAATTTCAGAACAACTTCATCCAGTAAACAGATTTTTAACGACCACCATAATTTCCGCTGAGCAGGTTAAGTATGCAATGCACCTTTTGCAATTGGCAACTTAAAGTGTGTGTATGGGGGGGGAAGGGTGAATCAATTGAAAGGCAATTGTTTACTCTTTCTAAATATATTTGGCTGCAGGTATTCTTAGAAGAGGTCTTTTACAATGAGAGGAAAACCACGGTGTGCATATATATAGTAAATAGAGCTGAAAGCAGCCAGTGTCTACTTGGAATATTTAGAGACAAAGAGGGTAGAGGATAAAAAATAGGCAGTGAATTTCCATAAGAAATGTTGACTCTGAGTCACACAATAAACATTTCATTGTTGTTTTGTTTTCTTTTTTTGATTTATGATAAATTATTCTCCCGGAATTAATGAAGAGGTGGAATCCCTAAAATGTAATTTGGAAAAGACTCTACTATAAATAAAATGTAAATCAAAAAGAGTAACCCAGCAATTTTTAATCTCAAACTCTGCTGATTCAGCAGCCCAATTGTAGTTGTCCTTTTCAAATCCCCAACTTTTCAAACTATTTTATTATAAGTTTGTAACGTATTTCCCTCCCAAAATATAAACTCTACATTGTTCAAGACTGCCTTAAATTGGGTTAATAACAGTTTTATTTAAAATCAAAACAAAACAAAAATAACCTCTGGAAGCGTATTTCCTCCAAATAAAAACCTTAAACTTTCAGATGAAGAGGAAATTATGGACAACTCTGCAATAAGTCGAAGTGTATGAAATCAGGAATTTTTAAACAGTGTTTTTAATTGAAAATAAAGCTAAAGCATGCTTTTCAACAGTGCAAATTTTCATAATTTTGATTTACTGCTTCCATCATCACAACATATTACACCAGCATGTCTTACCGAGGGCTAGACTCTAGAAGTCTACCTGTTAAACTATTTCGATATTAAGTGCAAATATAGATAATTGCCTCTGATTGTCACGTGCAGTAGAAATGCTCCTGCTACATAGATAGGATGGTATTGCAAAACTCAAGTTTCAAGAGATTCGGATAAAACAGTGAAGTGTATTAAAGTTTAAATGCCTGAGTTTTGGTGCCAAAAAGCTATGAATAACATGATATTCTCATTTTGTGTATTCTTTCCACTTATGGCCTCACGTTTCACTTTCTGTGTTGCATTTACCGCTTTGCTATTTCCTCCATCGAGTGTGAGAGGTTAGACCATAAATTGTACTGCTATACAGACAAATATTTTAGTTGCTTTGCAAGTTAGTAAGGGGCATGTTCAGACCAAAATTGAAGTAGGACATTAGTGGGTAACAGTAACCTTATTTAAGACTTTGGGGTGAAACAAAAAGTCTTTCCAATTGCAAAGAGTGACTGTACAAGTAAAAAGACACCCTTTATCAAAAACAGAATTCCATATTTATTTACTAGTTTTGAGATGAGGCAGCTTTTCCAGTGCTTCAGCTGTACTCCTACCCCAACCTTTCCAAACCATAGAAAAATTAGTAAATGCAACTGCTCTTGGAAAAAGAGCCCCCTACTCTGGAAAACAAAGCTCCCGAAAAGTAGAGACTGCTGCCACATTGAATTATAGTGAACCCTTACTGTGCAACCAAGTAACTTAACAAACTTTAACTGAATTAACAGTTAGACTTCCATTTTCGAAATCTAGTGCATAAATTTAATGGCTCATTCTAATATTTATTATTCAACCTTTTGACATTTATTTGTAGCAGTTGAATTGAGGTACCGGTGCATTATTAGCATTTAAACAGTAAAGTGTTCCAGCTCTACCATAATAACTGAGTTTAAGTTGAGTCTTTAGCCTGAAGTACTCTGTGGAATGTAAAAATTACCCAGACAAACAAACAAATAAAAACTGTAATGGAAAAGAAAATAGTAATCCGATTTCTATCTTCACAATGTGATAAAACAGGACTCCAAAAGTGTGTAAAGCATTAAGGGGCTTGTACAAACCATCCTGTTGAGTTTAAAACAAAAGAAAGGTAAAGGTGGTTCAAGAAAGTATTTTCCAAACTATTTTATTAATTAAATTTCCTGAATTTGTGGCTAGGTGGAAGAGGTATTGCAGAACCGCCCAACTGCCATTTCCATACAGGGTGGGCCTTGTGAGGTGGTTGCGAATCCTTAGTGGTGTTTAAGGAATAAGCTGGCAACAAATCCCCATCATTGCCAATAATTAGTGACGGTGGACAGGGAAAGTTTGCCATGAAATTAAACGGCCTTTTCACTGCTGATGCTACATTGCTGGCTACCCTTTTGCGTCTATTGGTAACTGTAAAATCATCCAGTGTTCCTTCATGTATCTCAATTTTACCTGTAGGACGTGGGCTTCTAGCTGATTTCAAATTTGGTTTGACTGGAGGAGTCTGCAGTACAGGTCGCTTTCCCAAAACCAATGTCCTGTAATTTTTTCTCACCCTCGCTCCAAATTTATACTCCCCATCCTCAGGTTTTGGAGTACCTAAAGTGCATGAAAGGACCTGACTCTGAGTCAGCGTGTTTAAGGAAGTGGTTTCTTTCTCAGTGCAAGCAGAATCTTCCTGGGCTGTTAATAAAACGTCCGGGTTATTACTCTCAGTCACACCGTTAAACTCATCCTTAGTATCATTGCACTCACACTTTAGCTTATGTTTTGAAAGGTCAGGTTCATATTCTTCATTCGTACTGCTATCCTCTATTTTGATTTTAATATTGTGCAGGAATGGCAATGCCTTATTGCCTGGATCAGTGCATTCAAGCTCAGCTGCTGCTGTTGTAGAAGCACGATCAGTTTGCAAAGAGGGTAAATCCGTGGCAAATTCAATACAATGAGGGATTTTGGAATCTTCTTCTGAATTTGCTGCTGTTGGTGAAGAATCATTATTTAAGAACCTAGCAGCTATTGTATTGTTATCTGCACAGTGTGTAGTTGTTGCTTGAAGGCATTTCCTTGCCTCTCTGAGTATTCTTTGTTGTGGAAATGCATTGTTTGTCTTTGGGCTAGGTGAAGAGGCCCCCTTTGCAGCACAGTTAATTGTTAGGTCAGTACTCTTTACATTATTGGAAAATTCAGGGTGTGGGAATGTGATCTCAGATACCCTATCATTCCTTATCTCAGCAAAACAACTTCCAAGGCTGCTGGAGCAGCACACTGGAGGTGCTTTGGATGCCCAGCTTTGATGACTCCATTCCTCTGGCAATTCCGATTTGACACCACACTGAGCACTTTTGAGGTCGGGAAGCCTGCCTGCCTCCTCGAAAGCTGGCGATTTGGTGGGGGCGGCCGTGGCCAAATGATACAAGAAGTTGGCCTGGGCCATGCTGGGGGGGTTGCAGAAACTGGTTCGCCTGAAGCGGATGCTTTGCACCGAGACCTGGCTGGAAACCGAGCTGGAGTCGGAGTCTGAGGTCGTATCCTCCTCCTCGGAGCTGACCTCGCTGGAGTCCGAGACACCGCTGCCGTCCTCCTCGTCGTCTTCCTCCTCCTCCTCCGAGGACACGGAGTTGCTGGTGCTGGAGAGGCTGGACCCGAAGTCAGAGTCGTTGGCCACATGGTCGGAGTAAGAGCTGGACTCCGAGTCACTGCTGTAGCTCTCGGGGAAGCTGCCCAGATGCTGTTGCTGCGGCTGCTGCGGAGAAGTGCAAAAGCCATTGACGAGGTGAAATCTCTCCAGGCAAGCGGCCGTGCTTGCTGCAGCTCCTTTGGGCTTGCAGGGCCTGGGCACGATCAGGAGCCGCCTGGCGCTGCTGGGGGTGTTTAATAAACAGTCCTTTTGGGCGGCCTCACACGGTCTTTTCCTTTTGTATCTGTAAGTCAAACCCACAGGGCTCCCTGCAGCAGCAGCCGCCGCTAGCTTGGTCTGCGCGATGGCGGCGGCGGACTGGTAATAAGCAGCAGCAGCAGCAGCAGCCGGGTGCTTGCTGCAAAGGACGCTCCGAAAATACGGGGGATCCGAGTGAAAGGTGACATAGTTGCCCACGATCGGGGCAGTTTCATAGTTTAAAGGGGGTTTGCAAGGCGACCGAGCGATTTCTGGGTAGCTGTGACCAGTGTATTTACTAAAAATGTGAGGTAGATCAGAGGCCGGTAGCAAGCCTGTGTCCCCGGGACGCAAAGCTTTTCTTCTAATTGGCAGAGGCTGAGCCGATTCATTCAAACCCAGCCAGAGTTTGTTCTCTTTCCAAAAGCTGGAGTAGGGGTCGGTGGATGTGTGCTCCGGTTGGAGATCTTTTGTTGACAATGACCGGCTTATTTTCCTCCTTTTTGTCTTAAGGACTCGTTCCGTTTTGCAAGAAGTGTAAAGAGCTTCTACGTCCTCTCTGGATATCAGGGTGCATTTGGCTGCATGAAAAGCGATGGAGTTGATGGCTTTGAGTTTCCTCAACTCCTCCAGGTCGCAGTGATGCTTTTTTACTTTTAAATGATCCATTCGCTTGTGCACTGTAGTTCTCGGGATGTTTTTGAGCAGGTCTGTAAAAACCTGAGAGAGTGCAAACATTTGCTTTCCTTTAATGATGAGGTAGCCGAGCCTCACGCCATCCACCTCTTCAAAACCCGACTTCAAGTCTCCCATTTCGTGAATTAAATTATTCCCAGCATTTGCAGAAATAAAGAAAAAAAGCCACACACACAATCCTCAGCCAGATGCTGTATTTGTCTCAAGGCATCCTGCTAATAAAATAACAAAGACTGTTATTCCTGCTCAATGGAGTGCCAAACTTTAGACGAAATTAGAAAAAAAAAACCAACATGTGAAACTACAATCTCTCTATATTTTTGTTTGAAAATCAGGTTTGCCAAAGTGTTTCTCTAAGTTGCTGTTGAAGATCAGTACCTGTTCCCTTTCATTCCCTGCTTTTCCATTGGAGAACTATGATAATGGAATGTGAAGGGAGGAAGAGAAAAGAAATGCAGCTGCTATTCCCGCCGCTGCTTTAGCTACAAATAAAATGACAGAGTGAAGTGAGCTCGTCCGGAGACACCTTCATCAATTAATTCCCCTAAAGCCAACGCTGATTGGACACTCCTGACAGGTGATGCAATAAAAATTGATATTCCACCCCTTCCCCCCCAAAAAAATCTCCCACTAATTAGCATACCCTTACACTGCCAAGCCCCCCTCCCAAAGTAAATAATACAGTTAGTATATAAATCTTTCTATTAAACAATCTGAGCTCAGATACACTCAGACCTCTCAGACTTCATCGCTAGCTACAGATGTAGGATTTGTATGTTTTTATTGTCATTTTATATATATCTATATATCTATCTATATAGATAGATAGATATATATATCATTAGACTATTTTGGACAAATGCCGCTATTTTGCGCATTATGTGACTGTAACGGACATAAGTGTTATCATATCGAGAGAAAAGACTTTGGTAATGCAATAATTGTAAACTGATATTTTATTCTGCATTGTGTGGAAAATGAAGCTTAGCGAAAATGTGCAGAATAGCCTGGTATTTCCCTTTTTCAAGCTCCAGAGTGAAAGGCTCTGTTGTTAGAAACCGAGAACGAATACTTACATTTTCGAGTTTCTGTTGATTTTCCTCTTCTATTTAATTGTCGTTCTACAGTCAATGGCTAAGTTTGTTTTTTGCTCTGCATATCAAGGTTTCCAACACCGTAATACTGTCACTCTGTAGTTGAAATTCTGTCTGTAATATTGGGGGAGGGGAAGGAGGACGTGGGCTCACGTCAGACCCATAACAAAGCATAGATAAGCCAGAAATGTACACACTTTTCACAATTAACCGTGCTGGATCACAAGCTGGAATGTCCTAGAGTCCCAGACTCCACGTTAGGATTCTTGTGTGCTGACTGCTTCCAGTAGAGAAAAGAGAATGTAAAATATCCAAGGTGCTTCCAGAGGCTTTACGTAATAACAGAAAAGTGCTGGCACACGATATAGAATATTGCAACGGTCCAGGGCACTTCTGGTTTGCAGCACGTTCAGTTTGGGGTAGACCTTCTGCAGAGTTTAGATGTTCCATTTATACCAACCCTTTAAAAATCATTTTGAAGAAGCAGCATGAAGGTGTAACCTCTTCGCAGTGACGTTACAATACTTCAGTGTCAGGCACAAATGATTTCGAACATGTTGCGATGTTAGCAAACCTCTTCCTTCGTGCGTTAAAATGATGTTTGCGGTTTGCATGTCAAAAGCTGCAAAAATAACTATCCGCCCATAATCAGTTTTCAACTGAAAACTGGATAGAACACAAGCACTTATATATAGCAGTAGTTTAGTGCATATCCAAAATTAGACACATCCGTGTGATTAAGAAAACATCTCATATTTCTGGGACTAATTTTTCCCTTCTAATTCAAAAGTTCCATTATCCACTCTATAGATTGGCAATATGGTGAGTGGAGCTCGTATTACACCATCAGGTATAGCTGAAATAAATAAAAGGATCGCTTTTAAAAAATGATTTTCGATAGTTTTGCATTACAAAGTAAAATGCACACAACCTCCCAATTTCGCAGGAATTCTGGCGAGAACTGGGAATTTGCAGAAGTGCATCCGGAAATTAAGGAAGTCTATTTAGGAGAGTCTGTAACTCAGTAGGTTTGAGATTTGAAAAGCCACCCCTAGACTACTGTTGCTCTCTGCACAGATGTAATCGCCGCTCTTCAACTTAATCAATGTGTGTACAAACCACATCTAGTTCTTCCTTTTGAAATCTAAGGATAGTATTCCCCTCCAAGAAACCAGAGCTACAGCAAATTACATTTTGTCTCTTGAATGAGAAAAGGATCATTGAATGGATCTCGTGATATTTCAGCCTTTAAACGTAACCAAGAGGCAGCAGTGAACAATGCCTCGTCACAGCTAATACCATCCACAGAGTTAAGCCTTCTTTTGCTTCGCATCTGGATTTATCAGCATACATTTTCCTTTCTCACTTGCGTAAGAGACATCATGTTATATTCTCTAGCTGAAAGCAAAGTTTCGAGGGAAAACAGCTGCTGGCGTTAAAAGGAAATCCTCGTAGCCTTTCTAAAGCTAGAGACAATAAGGTCGTTTAAAAATTCCTCCTGATGCACTTATATGCTGCTCGCACCCCCACCCCCACCCCACTATTCTCCTCCCCCTGTTTTAAGGTTAAGGCTATGGAGTCAAACAGTAAAGAAACAGTAACCTCAGATAAAGCTTTTAAAGAAGACATTACAAAAAAAGTGGGCTGAAAAGTCATTTCTTTGCCAGGTAGCTTAGTTCTCTCTCTCACACACACACACACACTCTCTCTCTCTCTCTTACTACATATGACAGTCTGGTAATGTGATTCAGTAACTATTTTTAAAATGCATGCTTTTTTGTTTAATACTTGCACTATCAAATGTTTTAAACTACTAGCAGCTATTTGCCAGACCTCCCACCCCCTCACACCCCCTGAAAGGTACAGCCATTAGCTTCTGGATGTAGTCAGAGCCAACGTTGAAAGGCGGGGGGAGAAGTCTTAGAAAATATCTCTCTCTCTCTCTCTCTCTCTCTCTCACACACACACACACACACACACACACACACTCAATTATAGATATACACACACTTTAAATTGCATATCTTACTCCACATCACACACAGATGTCTTTTGTTTCTTTAACTTCTCCATCATTTTTTGTGCAGAATGAAACAGGCAGCTTTCTTATAGCCATCAGCACACGCTGTATATCAGGATCTTCTTCAGGCACATTGGGGTAGATCACTATAAAGAGAGCTGGTAGAGGCCCTTACCCTGGCACACATACACAGTAAAGGCAGGGGACTTTAAACTGGATTTGCACGCACACAGGGGTTTGTGATCAATAGCTACCAACATTTATGGTTTAGATTATTAATGTGAAAGCTAGCCAAAAGAACGGACAGGAAAAAATAAAGGTGTCTGTTATCAATTATATTAAAACCTATGCAATAATTTACTCTCTCCCTGTGTGTGTGTTTGTGTGTGTGTGTGTGAGCAGGCAGATACATATGTATATTTCTTTAGTAATTTTGTTGACCACCTCAGCCTCACTTAAAGTCAAAGATGAACACGACTCAAAAGATGGATGTTTGCCTTCCATTTCTTCAGAACAGAAGGTCTAAGGATGCCCATTTTACCAACTATATGTACATGCAACAATATATAGTTGCGAATACACATGTTATCAATCAAATGTGTTCCTTTTCACTTTGAGTAACGTGCAATCTGTGATCTACATTCTAGAGTGAGATAATATTTCAGTTCTGAAGCTGTCTGGCCAAAGGATAAACCTAGTAGAAAATAAAGAGAAAAATAATGTTCATAATATATACAGTAGACATTTTCCCATTTATCTCAGATTACTTTCATTTTTGAAAAATTGTGTTAAAATATATAGGCTTGTAGAAAATGTTTAATTATATTGCTTCAGAAAGAATGTATAGAACATTTTAGATGCCTTTTTTATTTTATGTTTTGATTTATTTCCATTGTATGATTGTGTTTAAATACTATTACAATTCATCCTGACCTCTTCCTTCTTGAGCAAAGTAATGTACACACCATTTCTTTAAATGTTTAGTTGTGAAATGCAACAGCAATTTACAGCAGTAGTTTTACTAATGAAGCAAATTCTTTTTCCTAAGGGTTCATGTGCATTTTCATACTAGGATTGCCACATTATTAGAGCATTTCTATTACTATTTAGTATTATTTTTAAGCACTGGACCAATCTTCGGGTACTAGCAGCATTAAATACACTTTTTATTTTCACAGCTTTTATGCAGAAATAGATCATTTAAATGAGAAATAACCTTGTTCACCAGTTTTAGATACACTGTGCATATTGTGCTCATAGGGGATGCAAACAGAAAACAGAGGATATCACAAAGAGTCCAGTAACAGGGTCAAAGAACAGTATACTAGGGTCCTTCTGCTATTTTAAAGTCAACCAAATGTGACTTCAGTGCTTAAAATTTGCCATAAATTCTAATATGTCAAACATAAGAATGCACAACCAAATTATCCAAAAACCTGGGCCAATTAATTGCCAACTAATAGTAAAAAAAATAATGATAATTTATCAAACATAATATCACAACTGAGTTATTTCCATGTAAACAAAGCAACAATATATAGTTCTGTTCAGCATTTTTTTAAGTTTTATTTTTTCATGTGGATGTATCACACACACCAGAAATTTCTGGAATTCAGTAAAATCACAAAATAACACAGCAGATGTTGATAATCTTGTTTTTAAAATATAGTTTTGAAGGGGATTTTTTGGACACATACTACATGCCATGTTGTCTACTGACCCACAATCAATATGCAGTGACCTTCTACCCTTTTTTTTCCCCTTGACCCATCCTGAATTCAATGCAGCCTTTATACATTTTCAAATCCTTGGATGTAAAGGGGATTTGGCAAAGCTTTGTTCTGAAAGGATCCTAAAATGTGCATTTTTAATTAGACAAAGGTAAAGCAACAAACATTGGGGAAGATCACTTCTTACTTACAGGTGAGCGATAGTAATTTCTATATTCAAGAACTATGTCAGAGAAAACATATTCTGCAAGCTGAAAAGCAATTACAAACACAGGAGATCAGAAGGTTATGGATTGCACCAAATTAGCAATGTGGCACAAATCACTTTCATGACGTAAGGCATGGCCAGGCCACAATCTTCCGGCGCTCCTCATCTCCAAGGACTGTGGGGATTCTGGTGACCCGGGGAGAGGAGACTGGGGAGAGAGAGAGATTTAATCTGAAGCTACAGGCACATTCCCTTATCTCTCTTGCTATCAGCCAGTTTAAAGGACACCATAATTATGATGGTGATAAAACAATGCCTGCTTATGTGTGCTGAATAAATAAAGCATGTTTACAGCTCTAGAATGTTTCAATTCCAATTAAACGCTATCAAAGAAAAGCCACTTCCCCTCAGCCAGCCCCTATTTACCTTGTTTGTTGCAATATTTTCCTATGAAATATAAACCTTCCAGAATGCCATTAAGGACAAGTTGGTGATGAAAGAATAGACAGCACACACTCTCGGTCCCACAATTTATTTAGATCTCCTAAGCTTTTATTTGTTTATTTTGCAATGGCCAGCTGCTTGGAGATGCAGTGCTAAAAGGCGCTTAAGTGTCCAGCTCCAAGCTCCACCAACAGGAGAAGGAATTGGGAGTAATTAATGCAGCGCCCATGGGCGATAGAAGAAGGGGGAGGGAGAGAGGAGAAGGGGGCCGGCTATAGTCTCCTGGTTCCGACTCCCGACCAGAACCCAGAGGAGCTTGGTCTCCAAGCAGTGCCGGTTTCCTCTGCATCTGGGACCCCTGGAACCAGGAGGCTGAAAATTCATCCCATTTACTAAGACACAAGGATCATTTAAAATATTCATTGTATCAGGAAATCTCATCATAATCAGATTAAAATAAGGTTTGGGGGAGTGTTGCCTATGAGGCTGTGTACTAAACACTGATTGGATTACTCAGAAAGCTGATTCTTTTTGTATGTTAGAGTAATAGTACAATGAAAACCAATCATTTTGCCATGGGAGACACTTTTTAAAGCCACCTTTCTCCATTATGTTTTAGAGAACACACTTCTCCCAGATACCATTGTAATTTAAACTTTATATCCCATATTTTTACATGATGTTTATTTTTTAAAGCCCATGCCTTACAAATGCTGTGGAATATACAGTGCTGTAGACTGTAGTTTATCTCAATTTGTCTTTAAGCTAATTTAGTCTAAAAGATCAACACTGCTGAATTTAAACTTCTTAAATTAAATGTTCATGGGTGAAATATTTATTTATTTTTAATTGGAGCAGAATGTAGTGGAAAAGCCGAGTGTATTTACAGATTTTCTAGATCGTTGTAGGCCCTTTCCTTTTTAAAAGTTTAGACCTCCAATGCCCTCGATTCTACTGGCAGAATTAGGATGGACTTGGAGGGTCCTGAACGTGACCATTCACTAAGGCGGGGGGCTACAGCTTGCAACAACGTGCTCGGCAACTTAATCTTACACTAAAAAAGGCAGAGAGCGAAAAATAATGGAATACAAACTCTCCCGATATTTGTAGTCACTCCTAAGGTGGATTGTGTATTTGAAGGCTGATGGGAACGTCTGGTTTTTGGAGCAAAAAGGAAAGAAGGTAAGCGTTTGTCCTTGTATCCGCCAGTTCGTGGAGAAACAATGAAAGAACAAAGGGAACCACTTCTCCATTCGAACTCTTTACATTTTCTTCCTCCATTTCAAGCTTATTGTGAGGGGCTGAGGGTGGACTCGCTTAACTTTGCCTTTAGAAACTGTATAGGAGGGTTTGGGTTTAAGAAATTATTAGAAAGTTGCGCAGCAATGTAAATTAAAACATGTTTACTGGTAAAGATCCTCACAATAGCAGTAACAGCAGCCACGATTAAGCAGAAGTTGTTAATTTCATGGATCTAAAACTCCCCAGATAGTCTCCCCAAAACCAACAGCGATCAAAGTGTAGTTTGTATGAGCGTGGATGGGAACCTTTCTTAGGATTTCAGTGCTCCCCAAAGAGAGACTATAGTTTGTGGGACTTAAAAAACAACAACGATTAAAAAGGTTTTAAAATGTGTTCCCAGTAATGATCTCCGTGCTGATTAGCGAAGTAAGAAGGGAAACGGGTGAAAACAAAACTTTCGTATAAATAAATCAAATAAATTCCTGCAAGGATAGAGGCAGTGGGGGTGGGGTTATATGCAAATAAATATAATTCACATTTGGTTGAGCAGCAAAAGTCTTGCATTTTTGCCAGTCGGTGTTAGTAGCAAACCCCTGCATAGGACATAATTATACTGAGCTGCCACACTGGGTGGGGTTGTGGCGGAGACAAACACCTTCCCTCCCCCCCCGAAAGCAAAGCACGCGGATCAGACAGAGAAGACATAGCTCCAAAGTACCAAAGAGATTGCCTAAGCAGAAGCCTCCGTTGCACTCCCTGCCCCTCTTGCAGTGGAGACACGCTTGGTGTTTATATTCCTGCTTTGCTGTATTGTCAGGGACACCGGCATGGGAGGAGAGAGAGGAAAACAACCCCGACTTGTTGTTAAGCAAATTTAATGCATTGTTGGCAGCCTCTCCCCCTGGAAAAAAAAAGTTGGGGGTGTGATGTGCAAGGAGCCCCCTGGAATGTGCGTCCACATAACAATGCGCAACGCTGCGAGCGCTACTGCTCCCTC